ACACACACACACACACACACACACACACACACACACACACACACACAAAGACATTTGAGGTTACAAATGTATTGAACAATGCTAAATTTATTTAAAACTACTCATGATTAATTGTATGGAATATAAGCCCCAGCATAAATTTAAGACAAAAAAAAAAGTGTCCTCACACCTCAATGCCCATTGCTGCAGGTATTTAGTGGGCCCTGGGTGTCCTCAGGGGGTTAGTTCCTAAACCCTCTGCCCAGCCACCACCACGACGCTCAAGCTTCACACATCAAACGGGGAATATTGTACTCCAGGCACATTCTCTTACCTAGATTATTTATTGCATCTAGATAGTTCTTAGACTATACTGTTTGGGAAGTGAGATGAAAAAGCTCATATGCGCTCAATATAAACCAGATTTTCAACCTGAGGTTGTTTAAACTTGCTGACACAGAAATAAAATACAGAATGAGTGATCCTGTTGACCCGTTAACCACAGTTATATTTGTCTTGGAATCTCAACAACTGTCATTAGGAGGAAAAGCACAATAACGGATTCTCGTTCATTCTTCTCAAGCCCCAACTGGAGGCGTTTGTGTAAGAGTTAAGGACTCGTCATAGCCTCTGAGGACAACACAGGAAGGGACACGTATCATGTGAGGGTTAGGTGGTGCACAGAGACTCTAAAATGGATCTTAATTCTTCTTGGCCAATCAACTGCTTGCTTGCTTTTTTTTTTTTTTTTTTTTAAATTTATAAAATTTAGATGTACAATGACCGGGACCAGTTAATGTATTTCCATGGAATATGAAAGTAAAGACTTCAGCAGGCTTTTTTTTTTTTTTTTTTCTTCTCTTTTTCAACACTCGGCTTTGACACGGCCCTGTAACAGCCTCATATTTCAACTGGTTAAACCTGACAGAAAAAATAAACATTCCGGGGCTGTGAAGTTCACTTTGTAACAACAGTAAAACCAAGAATGACCCCAATAACACCTAATGAGAACAGGGAGAGCCGCCTACTCAGAGAAGCACTAAGGCCACACTGGCTGTGTCTCTTTATAGAAATGGTGTGTTTGGACCCTGCAGGAGGGCAGCAGTCTGCAGAGAACCAAGTGCAGTGTAGGGTGGCCTGGGAGAGGCCCTTCCAGTTTCTCTGCGCAGCTTCCTGGTGCATGAGGAGCATGGTAGGCTTGCTTGTGTGTGCAGGAGCAAGGGCCACACCTGTGTGATGTGTGGGGAGACCAAGGGAAAAACCTCAGGTGTCCTTGCATCTGACAGGGTCGCTCTCTTTTTTACCACGGTGTATGCCAAGCTTGCTGGCCCACGAACTTTCTGGAGAGTCTCCTTTCTGGAAGTGGCTCGCACTTCCCCTGAGCACTGGGACTGGAGACACCCGCTTTTATGAGAGTCCTGGGGATCCGGACACAGACTTCTAAAGCGTCTCCCCAGCCCCAGGGCAAGATTAAAAGAAGGTACGACTGCTCTATAGATAATAATAATAGTGAAAACCACACAACAGGGGTGAATGAAAAATTCTCTATGTTGCCCCTATTTTTATAGATTAAACTTATCGACACACTCAAGGGAAACTACTAATCTGAAAACCTGAAAAGTGTCTTCTTTTTTTTTTTTTTTTTTTTTTTTTTTGTTAAGGCTCAGAAAGCAAACGTAAACAAAACAACAACACACACGTAAGTTAGCACAGGGAACCCCACAGCATTCCAGAGCGACTTCTGATGATCAGTACCTTTTCCTGGACAAAGCTGGCGTCCCCCAAGGAGAGGGGAGAGAAGACTCGCTTGTCAGGCAAGGAGGGATCTGCTCTGCACGACTACAGACGACAAAACAGACAGGGGTTAGAGGTTAGGAGAGAGGATCCGAGGCGGCCAGTTAGTTTCACGAGAGATGTGGGGTCAGTGTCATGAGAAACATGTTCCGTTTTCCACAGGAGCAAGGACCACAAGCGCAACACACGCATGGACTAGAACAGGAAAGCTGCCAGGGGCAAACAATGCTGCTCCCAGTGCTGGTGTGGGCCCCGTGAAACAGACACAGCTAAAACTACAGAATCAGCAGCAAAGAGGAGAACAGGAGCAGAGTCTATGCACGTACACATAGCTCACGCCCTCACGACGACAACTACTGCACAGCACCCTGCTTCCGGGAAGTCAGTAACCACAAGGTGAGAGGCAATTTCTAATACCTGGGTTTGTAAACCTATTCATAACTAACGACCGTTGTTAAGTAACCCCAGCAGGCAGAGGCAGACTGCTCTCTGTGAGTTAGGACAACCAAGGCTACCCAGAGAAACACTGTCTTGAAAATCCAAAAAAAGAAAAAAGAGGAAACATCTCAGTATATGCTTAAAAGAAATTCCATGATCCAAAAAAAAACAAAAAACAAAAAAAAAACAAAAAACAAACACAACTATGAGACTCTTTGGTCACTTAGTCTATTTATGGTTAAAATGGAAAAATCACTTTTATTTTATGAAAGAAAAGTGGAGACTATTAAAAATGATGATGCTTGAACCAGAGAAATCAGAATATAACTACATGACTTTCAAAGTGGGAACTTGATTGAAAATACAGTCAAAGCAATGAAAATAAAGGATGCTGGGTAAAATGGCTCTCCTGTGCAGAACCCTGACTTCCTCCTCAGAGTGTCACCATGCACTGTACATTTTTGTGTGTGTACATTATTAATGAGCAGGTGGCCAGGACCCAGGCTGTGTTGTGCAGGCCAAAGACGCCATGCCTGAAGGTACAGTGGCCTGGCATGCACAGGTCTCCACCACACTCATTTACTGAAGTGCCGGGCAATGGATTCCTAGGGGACTCTTGACCGGGATGTTTCCAGGTACACGCATGTCTCCTAGAGAGCCACGCCATTTTCAAGGACTACGAAATGTGTAGTATCAAAATAACCGTGTTCTCCAGCACATCCACACACCATCCCCACGCACCTAATGTTTTCTGAGAGCAAAGAACAACGAACAAGCCTCAGAAGGAAACGTCATAGACACTGTCTACTCAAAACACAGGCTCCTGCGCTGCAAACTTAGCATCCGGGCAATAGCAGGAGTCCTGAGAAGAGTGACAGACCTCAGGTAAGGTGAAGGCTCACTGGTTTTCCCATTCCACGCCGGAGCTGTGCCGAGCGCACGCACCCCGAGACAGCAGGCCCGTACCTGTCGAAAGAATCCGTGGCCACTTTGTAGAGATAGGTGAAGAGTTTACTGCAGTGCCGCAGGGCGGGGGCCACCGAGTCTGTGGCCACCACGCCGTCCTCCAGCAGTCTCTGAAAAGGCTGTGTGTGTGAGGGGAAGACGTTCATGGCACTGATTTCCCTGAGGTCTGAGAAGCAGCCAAGAAATCGGACCGCGTCGGCCAGCTTCTCGTACTGGATCTCGGTCTTGAAGAAGTGCGAGTTGGCTGGCTCGTAGCGCAGGGCCGCAGTCAGTGTGCAGAAGACGGTGTGCAGGAGCTCAAACACCTGCCCTTGGCTCACCTTCTCCCAGCCGTTCTTGGGAGGAGAGCTCAAAGACCTTTCCATAGCCACGAGCAAGGACGTGATGTACACGAATCCTCCAACTTTCCTAAAAACCGTTCTTGAGCGGTGGCTTTCTCGAAGGACTGACAGGAGGGCCTGCCGGGGAAAAGAAGGAAAACAAGTATTATTCAAATTAAAAAAAAAAAACGAAAACAGGAGTACCAGGTGTGACTATCCAAGTGGAACAGCGGTCTGTGACTATTTAATATGAATGCTTTCGTCAGAGTTGTTTAAGGCATTTCACAAGTTTTGCTGAAACATGTCACAGTACATGCAGAATAAATTTCAGGTAGCGATCACACATTTCTTTTGATAGCAGAAGACTGAATCCAATAATGAGTGAGAAACCTGACCTTGTTTAAGGTAATCAACAAATCCAATTACTTAACAAAACAATTGTATTCAGTAAGTCCATGCGCAGCCTGACATCACATGATCATGTGAACTTGTGACTGTTTAGCTGGTTATAAGATGGATTACTCCAGGGGGATCAAAAGATGAGAAGGGCAGCCAAGACTGAGGTCTCTCCACAGTTTCTCATGTGTGGAGAATCTGGAAGGCAGTCTCTCTAGGAAATGAATCAGAGCCTGAGGACCGAAAGACGGCCCTGCCCCAGGTCAGCCATATGATCTAATAACAAAGCAAAAGGAAGCCACCCTGCCATCAGTCACCTGCCACTCACTCCATATCACCTAGTATCTAACCAGACATTGAGTGTGCAAGGCGCTAGCCTCACACAGCGTCTTCTTTAACTGTTCAGCAGTGCGAAGTATATAGAAAGTTTCTCCTATCCAAAACGCTTAGCTCCGGAGGCTTCTTGTTACTGTTTTGAGAAAACACGCACAAATTCAATGACATACCTTGGGTATGGGAGCCAAGGCTGACTAGGAAAACCATTTGTTTTTTAAAAAGTTTTATATATGAAACAAAGCTCTACTGCAGGGGATTTTGTACATGGAGCACCGTATCACGAAGTTCTCGAATTTGCAGCTGCAGGGCTGACTTAACAACTAAAAGCCCTGGCAGCTCCTGCAGGGGACCCAGGTTCAGTTCCCAGCTCCGCATGGGGGCTCCCAGCTGTCTGTGACCTCAGTTCCAGGGGATCCCACACCCTTCCTCTTTCAGCCTCACAGGCAGTGGACAACACATGGTACACAAGCATCCACACAGGCAAACACTACACTTTTTTTTGAAGGTTTAGAATTTGAAGTTTTTTGAATTTGAATTTTCAAAACAGGGCTGTTAAACCTACATAATAATAATAATAATATAATTCTTATTTAATAATTGTAATTATTATTATTTAATAATTAAGGAATGAAGTCCATATTTAAAAATTACCAAAGATGCCACACTGAATTAATGAATGGCAAAGGCAGGACTTAAACCCAGGAAATTTCAGTTCCAAGTGCATCTAACCACGCCATTATCTTGTACTGAGCTGTGCTCTGACATCTGCTGATGTCTGCAATGGGCTCTTTCCCTTTTGCCTCAGGTTCTGTAACATGGCAAGATGATGATCCCTCCACTCCAGATATGCTTTAATCTCGGCACTCATCACTTTTCAGGGACACACTTTCTTAAAATATTTCACCCATCTAAGGGCAGCAGCCCAAGAATGAAAAGGCTACAGGCTAATGTAGGATGGAAGTACGCACACTATGTGACCCTCGGGTTTCCTTGTGTACACCAAGACTTGCTTTGTTGTTGTTGTTCTTTTTTTGGTTTTGGTTTTGGGGTTTTTGAGACAGGGTTTCTCTGTGTAGCCTTGCTGTCTTTGCAGGCTAGGCTGCCCTCAGCCTCACAGAGAGCTGCCTGTCTCTGCCACCCCGAGTGCTGGGATTGCAAGTGTGCCACCATACCTGGCTTAAGACTTGTTATTTTAAAAGAAAATATACAATCTGTGCAATTACTAAAACACATAGTATATTCCTTTCATTCTTCTACTAAGGATTACTTGCCATTTTAAAAAGTATTTGATATCAAGATCATCTCCATGTTGTCAAGTTTAGTAAATTAATTCTTAACAATTATAACTCATGTTAAGACATTTTGACACTACAAAAAACTCTTACAGTTATCCGTGAGAGTAAACGCAGATTAGAGTCAGAATGCATGGTTTCGAATTCTGGCTCCAACATAAAACTGCTTTATCACACCAGATCCTTGACCTATCTGTGCTGTGGTTTTCAATAAGGTAAAACAGAGATAATGAGAACTTAGCACCCACCCTCAAACACACACACAAACTGTTTTGTAATGTGACTGGCACATAAACCCATTTATTGTGAAGATACGAGGGCAAAAATGTAACAGGTACCTGTCGTGTGTAATTTTAACAAGGTCACGTGATGAGAAATGACTCCACTATGAAAGCTGGGCTGGCACAGACCTGGGCACAACCTACTATATACTGAGGTTGGTGACACTGTGATGTCACAGTAGTCTATCACACTCTTAGAAGATGTTTGACAGATTATTTCAGATTCCACATATCTTACTGTAGCGTGTACTGTAGACAGCACAGTTCATGTGAATCTGAACACATCTAAACATGGAAAAGGCACAGTGAAAGCAAAAACTTGGAGCCCCATTATAGCTGCTTTGTGTGTGATGGAAACACCTGTACATGGAATGTGACTACAATTTTATAGGTGACAATGGTTGAGTGCAGAGTTAAGAAAAAAATGTTTGTATGGCTGGTTAGAACTTTGAGCCAGTTAGGAAACAGTGACTGAATTCTTAGAACAAGAGTTATTTTAGGACATGCTTATCTCCTACTCCTTCAAACCTGGTATCTGTTGGCGTTGCACCCTATAATCAGTATTGGAAAACTCTGAAGTACCAGGCTAACTTAACTTCTTAAATCAATTAATGATATGCAGTGAATAATAAAGTTACAACGAGATCTTGATCCCAGGAGATAACGAGAGAAAATTCTACTACGTATCACTTACTTGGCATAAGCATACTACATGTAATTCAAAATGTGTGTGCCAGTAAAATTATGAAGAACATAGGATTTCAGGTTTATATGTAAACAATTGCAAAGTAAATTAGCAGACGCCTGTGGTCTATGCAGTTGAAGACTGGGATGGGGGCAGTATTGCATTCAGCAAAAATGGAAACTGAAGTTTAGAGAGAGCCTGTGGTCTTCCTCGTTGCTTCCCAGCCCAGAGGCGCGGGCCCTGAGATCACAGCTTGGCACGCTGGCACTGGCTGAAGCGTGCCAGCGACCTGTGCTGCTGTGAGAGTCACCAACGCTAGCATGGTAAGCGTGTAGCCTGTGTTCCTTCTCCCTGTCCTGTCACGCCTGCCTGTGCATACTTCCCTCCTCCCTACGGTGCCTGCTGTCTGCCTTACTTTTTCAGCTCGTTACAATGAGGTAGGCTCACTTCTTTTTATTTGCCTCACCTCTAAAATCACCCATTTCTCTAAGGAACCCTCCTGGCTTACAATGGCAAGGGTATTTAGAAATCATGGATCAATGAATTAATGAAAACAGAACAATTTCAATGACTCCTGACTCCTGCAGATGTTATTTAAATGGGAAAAGAAGACTAGCCAAAAAGCATCAAGACTACTCTGACAAAAGCTGTTGCTCATATCACAGAAGCTGAAAGCACAGCTCTGCAGAGGCCACGTGGCCTTGACCTTAGCTTCTCTATCCCCTAGATTCATGCTGTACATGCCTAAGCTGTGCTTCAGCGTACAGTGTGTGAAACACAGGGCCGGTCTCAGGCCAGGGGTCTGTCCAGCATGCCCAAGGAGCTGTAGGACAACAAACCAAATCAAGGAAGTAAAATGACACAGGGACACGGAGAGCGTCTGCCTTTATTAATAGGCAGATGTAAGTGGACGCATGCAAATGTACAGAACACAGTTTGCGGCAGGATACGTGTTAGTTGTGCCATAATCACGATGCTTTCTGGAACTTAGAAAAACGGTTTCATAGGCCCCCTAATATGCACTTACATGCTCTACCTTGCTTGAGTCACTGAACACGCGTGTCAAAAAGTTAAAAGGGGCGTGTTTAACTTTAGTCACTTCGGAAAACGTCTTCCACGGCCATGCCAGGGGCTACAGCCATGTGAGTGGCTACGAATGCGTAAATCCTGCCGAGGGGTGGGGGTGCAGCAGAAAGAGTGCGTGCTGAGGCCCTGCACAGGGAAACACAGCCAAGCTTGTACCATCTCCCTCCTCTGCACATCAGGGCGCCGACTGTTCTGCAGCCATGGAACGATCGAGGCACACATTAAACCTGAACGGGGCTGTAAAATATTTCCTAGAGTAGCTATTACAGACACGGAAGCACAAATATGCATTTGCACTACAACATAACAAGTTTCACATATGCAGAACACTGGATGGTTGGAACAGAAGAGACAACACACGTCTTTAGTTTTTAGTAATTCAAGAGGATTCTCATGAGCCAGGGTAACTGTTCCAAAGGTCAGCCAGCAGAAGGGCCATGTGCACTGACATTCACGAATGACACTTTCTCCAAACTCCTAATGTATACCAATTGTGGAGGTTTGGTTATTTTGGATTTTTAAATTTTCTCTTTGGTAGGCCGTGGGCTCAGTGGTTAAAAGCATGTGGACTGCTCTTGCAGGTGACCTGGGTTCGATTCCTGGCATCTCATAGCCCCCTAATAATCCCAGCTCCATGGGCTCTTACGCTTCTGGCCTTCCCTGGTACACACACAGTCAAAAGCGCACACGCATACACAGATATACGCCCGAACACATTATTTAAAGCAGCAATAAATGTTCGATCTCTCTCACGAATTTCCTTGTTGAAACTAAGTACATTGAACCTCACAAGGGCCCCGGGCTTTAGCAGACACGGCTGCCGGACCTACCCTTAGGATGTCAGTCTTCAGCTGTAGCTCTGTGGGAGGCGCCGAGTGCATCAGCCCCAGGAGCGTGCCCATGTCGTCGTCGCCGTTCGGGGAGAGCACCAGCTGCTGGATGGTCATGAGGGCGTGCTGCCGGCACTGCGGGTACTTCACTATGTTGTGCGCGCATCTCGCACCACCAAACTCTCGGAATATCCCTGAGGAAGGGGGAGAGGGAGGAAAAGGCCAGCTGACTAAGTTAGAACAGCCGGGGCAAGTCAGGTGAGTGGAGATCCAACAGCTTCGGCAGGAGCCGGAATCCAAAAGGACCGCTTGTAAAGCAGGCACGCCTGTTTCACTTTTTATATGAGGGTGCACTGCGCCGCGGGATGTCAGGGAACACTCACAGACACTTTCTCTACATGAATGCCGGGTCACCGCGTGCCTCGATAGAACATTGGAAAATTTATAGGGAGACACGAAGAGGCCGCATACTGCAGTACAGACAGGTGCTCGGATGAACAGTACCCAGATAGTCCAAATTCCCACCAAGGGGGGCTGTCAAAACCGTGTGTGTGTGTGTGGGGGGAGTATAAGGAAATAAAACACAGCACAAGACCCAAAACAGCAAATTCTGTAACAGAAAGCATCAGTCGGAAACCTGCTGCGAAGCCTTCCTATGGCATTACTTAATCCACGCCACAGGCAGTAGCTGGAAGTGTGGACTTCTATGCACAGGCAGGTCCACTCCCTGGCCTGCCCCTGCTGACTGCACATCCTGATCTCCGGGCAAACGTCGCCCTCAAACTTAAGAAGCTCGCCCAAGTCATGTAATTCACCGATCTGTATTTCCCACGAGTAGCTCTTACATTCTGTCTGATGAAATACCTTCCTGCCCCATGAAATTTTTATCTGGATTATGGTTATTGTGCACATATTTGATCACTCACAAACGCTGCATTTTCTTCTCATTTTGTTTGGATGGAAATCTGGGACATGAATAGCTAAGAGTGGCCACAGTCAGCTCAGAGTAAGTGGCCTTCCCTCTGCTGCCTTTTTGGGAACCGCACCACACTGATGTGAGTGTGAAGTCATGTGCTTAAGAGTGAACACTGACGGCTGATGTGGAATGGTTGTAGACCTCAGGTCCTGCACTTGGCCGGCCAGAGCGACACACAAGACTGTCTTTAACACCGTGACAATAGGCCTGGCCTCACTAGGACGTGAACTGTGACATCCTGTGCATATGAAGGGTTTGCGAAGCCTGTGGCTGTCAGGGTCACAGTGGCTAACAGCTGAGGAACACTTCCTGTGGACATGGTACTGAGCCTCAGGTTACAAGGCGAGCCACGGCTTTCCCAAAAAGGAAAGGACAGACACCGAAAGAACACATGGGGATGTCTGCACTGAGGCACCAAGACCACAGCTGTGGAGGCCTCTCGTATAACAGCAGAAAGGCCTGAACCAGCCTGTCCAACTTCACCCGACACTATGGAAAGCTAATTTGACAAATACTTTGTTTTGCATTATTTGCATCTGTATGTCAGTCAACTAAATCTAGTTGGTGGAGATAGCCATATTAGGCATAATACAACAGGTGAATGTTCCTACAGAGCCCGGGAGATGTCAGACTTAATAGCTTCAGTTACCTGCTAAATTTATTCAGCATTGCCTCAGAACTTACCAAAACTGCATTTAAACAATTACTTATGTAATTATGTATTACATCTCTCTCAGTTAGGCTGCAATTCTCCTGGGGCAAGAATTACCTTTACATCACTGTGAGGTAGTGTGTGTCTGGGACACAATGCATTTAACTACGTAGAATGTGAAGTTTCTCTGTTCCCACCAACAGTCATGCATTTTACAGAGGACTCATTCACGCATTCACCTGCTCACTCATTCATGGCTTCCCCACACGCCATGTGGTCCAAGCTCTCCTTCACTGTGCTAAGAGGGTCCCCACGACCTAGGCCTGACTGCTCGCCTGAGTTCACTTCCACGCACCCAGTCCTCTCAATTTGTACTGAACATACGGGCTTACAATTTTTAGTTTTCTTGACTCAGGAGCTCACTATGTGACCCTGGCTAGCTCTTATACTCTGGGTACACCAGGCAGGCTGGCCTCAAACTCATAGAGATCGATCAGTCTCTAACTCCTGGGTGCTAAGATTCAAATCTTGTCCCATCATACCTATGAACCACAGCTGCCAAGAAGTACTTTAGAAATAATTTAAACACGACAATTACTTCTAAAAAAGTATATAGTATAACTTAAAACTTGGGAACCTATAACATAGGATAAACATACTAAAATCTGTACACCTAAAGAAGCTAAGCAAGAAGGACAACTCTGCGTAAGAGGATCAATCCTCACTCAGAAAGGCAAATGAGAGAGACATGGGAAGAGAGAAAAGACAAGGACCAGACAGGAGCTACCACAGAGGGCCTCTGAAAGACTCTACCCAGCAGGGTATCAAAGCAGATGCTGAGACTCATAACCAAACTTTGGGCAGAGTGCAGGGAATCTTATGAAAGAAAGGGGAGATGAAAGACCTGGAGGGGACAGGAGTTCCACCAGGAGAGCAACAGAACCAAGAAATCTGGGCCCGGGAGTCTTTTCTGAGACTGATACTTTAACCAAGGACCATGCATGAAGATAACCTAGAACCCCTGCACAGATGTAGCCCATGGCAGCTCAGTCTCCAAGCGGGTTCCTTAGTAAGAGGAAGAGGGGCTGTCTCTGACATGAACTCAGTGGCTAGCTCTTTGATCACCTCCCCCTGATGGAGGGGCAGCTTAACCAGGCCACAGAGGAAGACAATGCAGCCAGTCCTAATGAGACCGATAGGCTAAGGTTAGAGGAAAGGGGAGGAGGACCTCCCTATCAGTGGACTAGGGGAAGGGCATGGGAAGAGATGAGGGAGGGTGGGTGGATTGGGAGGAGACGAGTGAGGGGGCTACAGCTGGGATACAACATGAAAAAAGGGTAATTAATAAAAAATTAATTAATTAAAAATCATTCAAAAAATAAATAAAAGTGGTTGGTTACCACCATTACAAAAAGGAGGGGTAAACAGCATATTATAAAAAGTAATAAAAATAGTTAAAGACAGTAATAGTATTCCAGATTTTCGAGGAAGGTATTTTAACAAAGTGTCTCATTTTCACAACCGTCCCATTAGTGAATGGCTGTACATTACTGAACACTATTTTCCCTTTGAGTGACAGAAGCGGAGGAGACACAAATCCGCCTCCAGGGACTCCTGCTTCTGGCTTTTCTGGTTACCTGCATTTGTGTTTGACCCTTGAAGCAGCACGGTCAAGGCTTCCATCACCAACAGTGCCAAGTGTTTTTGGTCTTCGACTGAGCTATTGTTTCTTGAGTCCCCTAGAAAATAGGTCCAAAGGTCCAAATCATGAAAGCAATGCTGAGGTCAGCCGGTTTTACTTGAATTATTAATTCCTTTTACCACATCTTCAACATTTCCTTTCTCCACGAATACAAATGCCAGTAACACAGCCTTCAAGCCAGCAGTGTGCTGCACTTGCCCAAGACGCTCAAATGAACTGATATTAACAGATTTTTATTTTACTGTGGAAGAAGTTAATGGTGTAACAAATATTGAAAATGAAAAGGCCAAAGTTCAATGTATCTATCCTTCTCATGGGAGTTCTGATTAGCAAAGCCAAAAGGGGAATTATCAAATGAAAAAAAAAAAAGATGCTTGTGAATCAGCTGCTTATATCAACATGTATTAACTCATAATTAAAACTTACTAATAGCTTGATATAGCAGTACTTTATCATATGTGTCAAAAAGGTATCAATGATGTTTATGAAACATCACTAAATAGACATATTTGCTCTCAAATATTAGTGAAAAATATTTTGAGATAACCATACTTAATTAATAACAATTTTATTATTTCCAGAATAAAAAAAAAATCTCTGTGAGAAAGTAATAAGCACAAGTCATGAAGACCGTACGTGTTGTGAACTCTCTTCCACTACTGTAACATAATTCTAGGCTCCCCTTACCCTAGATGCTAATAAAAGGCAAAGAAAAAGTTAATGCTGGGCCACCCTCACTAGAGTGCCACACTCACAGACAAGAAGTCACTCTCCTCACGCATCACCCGAAAGGAAGCACAGACACACCGCCTCGCCCGGGCCCCTCTCCCAAACAGAGCACCCACTGGGAAGCCTTTACCTTGCTCACTGAGGGCCTGAGCTGGGTCCTTCAGGAGGGCGGCATACTTATGCAGCAGGTTCACCATGACCTCCAGAAGGCCCACCTCTCTGAAGACATCTTTAAAAATGTAGTCGTGTCTTGTAAACTTCAGAAGGGTTTTCATTGCAATGATGCTACAGTGGTAAGAATAGCTGGACTTTAACAGGATACTCACACTGATGAGTTCTTTACAAGGGATATAATTTAAGCTAAAGACGACAAACTCCAGCATCTCGAAGTATTTGTTCTGTACTTCCGGGAGTTTGGAGATCTTCTCTGCAAACTGTGACAGGGTGTGCTGGGACTCCAGGATGAAGTAATTGGCATTGTCAGCCATGTAAATATTCGTGATGGCATCAAGGATGATTTGGGCAAGGAAGCTGGTTTTTGCTTTTAAGAACGCATTCTGAAGAACTGCAAAGGCCTGGATGTTTCTCACACTGTGACCTAAAATAGAAAACAAGAACACAAGTGGGTGCTATGCGATGTTTCAATCCTGGTAAAAGAGCCTGTGTCATCACATCATGAATTTCACCCTTTATCAAATATTTATGAGGACAATGAAAGCTCTTATTTTTCTTCATCAAGTTCAGATACTTAGTTAAAAATAAACAGAACCAATCAAACGTTCAATGTGTTGCTATGGACATTTTAAGAACAGCAGATTTTGAAAACTCCCTGCCTGAGTACAACATGGATTCTGCCCTCCGCCAGAGGAAGCAGTTGAAAGACTGTGACTAAGAAACAGTTACTCCAGTTAGAAAGGACACAGCTGTAAGGCCCAGTGTGAACCGGAGAGCAGGGAGCTGACCCATGCTCTCTCAGATTCTCCCCGAGTGGCCACTCAGGGATTTTCCTAAGTCAACTGGGAAATTTGCTCTGTTTTCAGGTGGAAATTAGAATTTCTTTAAATAAACTCCTTTAATAAAACAGTGTATGGCCACTCTCAGCATCTTTAAACTTAATTCTCAAACAAATAAAAAAGTTAAGCATCTTTTCACAAAGTTGTGAGAAACGGTAATAATCATTATTATTATCTAGACATCAATGCAGACAGCTGTATTTGAGGTACATTAAAAACAAGTGTTTTTCTATAAAAATCACCCCTGGGTTCACAATTATTAGTAATATACGGTACTTGCAAAGGTGACAAAATTAACACTGATTTTTACATAATATATGAGATTTTTAGAAAAAGAGTAAAACACAAACTAGAGAAGTATAAATGGATCAGAAAGTCCCTCAGAAATACTTAAGATGAACATTTCTAAAAAAATTTTAATGTTCTCCAATCTTCAGTACAAATGTTACTATACATCCAGTACAATATATTACATATATTACAGATACAGTTTTCATCTATAACATAGAAATTTACTATGTGGATGAAAAGCACCAAACATATTCACATCCAATCTCTTTTTTTTTTCATTTTTTTTCTAATTTTTTTAATTTTTATTTTTTTATATTAATTAGTTTATTTACTTTGTATCCCAGCTGTAGGCCCCTCCCTCCCTCATCTCCTCCCTGCCCCTCTCTTAAGTCCACTGATAGGGGAGGTCCTTCTCCCCTTCCATCTGACCCTAGCTTATCAGGTCTCATCAGGACTGGCTGCAATGTCCTACTCTGTGGCCTAGCAAGAGTGCTTCTCCCTGGGGTGGGGGGGAGGAGGTCAAAGAGCTAGCCACTGAGTTCATGTCAGAGACAGTCTCTGTTCCCCTTACTAAGGTACGCACTAGGATACTGAGCTGAGCAGGGGTTCTAGGTTATATCCAAACATGGTCCTTGGTTGGAGAATCAGTCTCAGAAAAGACCCCTGTACCCAGAAATATTTGGCCCTGTGGAGCTCCTGTCCTCTCCAGGTCTTACTAACTCCCCCTTCTTTCATATAATTCCCTGTACTCTGCCCAAGGTTTGGTTTTGAGTCTCAGCATCTGCACTGATACCCTGCTGGGTAGAGTCTTTCAGAGGTTCTCTGTGGTAGGCTCCTGTCCTATTACTTGTTTTCTCCTATTTCCCATGTCCATCCCATTTGTCTTTCTAAGTGAGGATTGATCATCTCACCCTGGGTCCTCCTCCTTGTTTATTTAGCTTCTTTAGGTATACAGATTTTATACAGATTTTAGTAGGTTTATCCTTTCTTATAGATCTAGTACCCACTTATAAGTGAGTGTGTGTCTTTCTGCTTCTGGGATACCTCACTGAGGACAATCTTTTCTAGGTTCCACCATTTGCCTGAAAATTTCATGATTTCCTTGTTTTTAATTGCTAAGTAGTACTCCATTGTGTAAATGTATCACAATTTCTGTATCCATTCCTCAACTGAGGGACATCTGGGTTGTTTCCAGGTCCTGGCTATTACGAGTAAAGCTGCTATGAACATGGTTGAACAAATGTTCTTGTTGTGTACTTGAGCATATTTTGGATATATGCCTAGGAGTGGTATAGCTGGATCTTGGGGAAGCACTATTCCTAGTTGTCTGAGAAAGCGCCAGATTGATTTCCAAAGTGGTTGTACAAGTTTACATTCCCACTAGCAATGGAGGAGGGTTCCCCTTTCTCCACAACCTTTCCAGCACATGTGGTCACTTGAGTTTTTTATTTTAGCCATTTTGAGGGGTGTAAGGTGAAATCTCAGGGTTGTTTTGATTTGCATCTGATGACTAAGGACGTTGAGCATTTCTTTAAGTGTTTCTCTGCCATTCTTTATTCTACATCCAATTTCTTACTGACATTCTTTTCTCTTGAGAACATACTTTTTATTATCCATAGTCATCTGAAAAATCAAGCTTAGACAGAGTAATGGAAATAGAAAGGTAAAAGCTAAGGATGTTGAAGGCCACTTCCAGTATTTATCAGGCATTTGCATTTCTTTGAGAAACATTTACTGTTATCATCAAGAAAACAAACAGGCCAGGTGTGGCAGCAAAGCCCTTGGCAGGCAGAGGCAGGCAGAACTCTGGGAGTTCACGGCTAGCCTGCTCTCCATATAGTCAGGGATACACAGTGAGACCCTGCCTCAAAAAACCCAAAAAGAAAGAAAAAGACAGTGAGACAGAAACAAGGGCTGATGAGTTTGTGGGAAAAGTTTGTTCTGAATGCTGCTGGTAGGAATAAAAACTGGTCTCACAACCCTGGAAATTAATATGGTTCTTCAAAACACTAGAAACAGAACCATCATATGACTCACATATGATGGAAGGAGTCTGCATCCCATAGAGATTCTTGCACACCCATGCTTACTGATACACTATTTAGAATACTGTCCTTATTTTGGGGGTATGCATGTGCAGGCCCATGAGTGTGTGTTCGTGATCAGGCACCTGACGGCGTGCCACAACATGTGTATGGAGGTCAGAAGACAGCTCTGTGGAGCAGATTCTCTTCCTCCACCTTTGACTGGGTCCTGAGGCCGAGCCTGCATTGCTAGACTTGCAAGCTGAGTACCCTTCACCCTGTGAGCCATTTGCCAGCGACAGGTGAGCTGTCCTTCTGTGAGCTCGTAGAAATAGCTCATAAGAACACTCAAGTTTTTAGGTTAGATTTTCGAGAGACTGCTGTGTATTCTGTAATATGGAACTTGGAACGTGTGAGAGCCTACCTTGATCTCGGAGGCTCGTTTGCAAGCTTAACCTGTGCTCTGAAGGCAGTGCACAACACAGTGAGCGCCAGTCCCCAGCACAATAACTGACTAAAGGAGCTCTGACTTCAGAAAATGACTATATTTGATTGTGAGATTTAAACAACTAGAAATGTTGGCATTTTTGGTCAGTTAAAATTCACATGGGTTTATCATGATCCTATCGAAGATTTAGTAAGTGCCAAATAACAGAAAGAAACTATTAGAGTCCTCCGAGTTCAAAGTGTGGAGCTTGGCTATTAGGCGTTTTAAAAGCTAATCAAGCTAGCTGACATTCCTGGGTAATTAACTTGTTAGATGGTCTCATGTAACCAAAGCTGGCCTCCAACATGCTGTGTGCTTGAGACTGACCCTGAGTTCTTCACGCCTCACCCCCGTCTCCCAGTGCTGGGACTGCAGATATGTGTCACTCTCTCCTCTCATAATTAGATGCTCTTAATTACTGAGTGAGTCTAAAAAAAAAATCACTACATGAGAATCAAAATGCTAGGAAAATGTAGCCTAGGAAAACTTGCTCTCTGGCCCAAATGAAATAGTGCAGCTTCTTTGTCATGTTTCATGCTTTCCACGTACACGCAGAAGAGTGTGCACCTGCTCCACCCAGACAGAGAACACACTCGCAGGAGCCAAAGGAAGTTGATCCAGGTGACGACCTGGCTCCAGTGAATGAATGCCACGCAAACCTCACCCAGCCTTGTAACGTTACAATAGTAGTTTCAACTTCTTGTCTATCAGTCCGTAGATGGGAAATCCTTGGGCAGGCTCAACCATGGATGGAAGGACTTTAAGAACAATGACAATCACATCCACACAGGTAACGCTCACAAGGAGCCACCACCTGGAGAGAAAGCGCTTCCTCCCACACTCCCAGAAGCTTGGAAATCAGGACAGTGCTGTAGACACTCACCTTTCCCTGCTGGCTGGGGCACGGCAAACCCAGGCAGCAGGAAGGGGGCTCCTGTGCTGACACCAGCTGGCTTCAGCTCGCTGACCCCATACGTGGTCAGGGACGTTACCAGATTCACCAGGTCCTTCAGGGCATCCCTGCAGTCTGCCTCTTTCGCTTGCTCCAACCTAGAAAAAGGTACATTCACATTTTTTCTTTTTTTGTTAATGTCCTCGACTTTGATACTAAGTAAAAGTACTTACAAGAGTATCTTACATTTTTTTTCTCATACAGATCCATTTTTTTTAATCTAAAGATTTTATTATTCTACATTATGCTGCATTTTGAAGCTACCCTGATCATTAACGCACACTTTAAGTTTCATCACCAATAAGTAAACCACCAGTCTTTGTTACAAAGGTGGTTTGTTAGCTCTTTCAAATGTATTTTAAATTTTCTCTACAGACAATGTTTAAGATAAAACATGGAGAGAGTTCTAAGAGGTGTGTGTGCCCGGGTGTGTGGAGGTGATGCTGAAACCCTGAACCCAAAGCAAACTTCCCAGCTGAGCTGGCTGCCTAGGAGCGGCCGCCTGAGGCATGTGCGGCCAGCCCGAGGTCCCGAGAGCATCAACGGCACGAAGGTGTGACTTTTACTCTGGCTTTACTGACAACACAAAATGCTTGGAAGCCTCTCATTCTCTCCTTTCTACCTGAGAAATGTAAAAAACTGGGCAAGGAGAATAGATATGGCCAGTGCCAAGACTTGGAGAACCAGAGTCTCTGGTCCAGTGTGCTTTCCACACTGTGTCTGAGATTTTTACAGAATTGGTGTGTGTGATCTGGTCCACCTCAGCTCTCTTCCTTCCAAGTCCAACCACTTTCCCCTCCTGGCCCCATGGTGATGCTCACATGTGCCTTGTACAGATGGGAACAGATGTGCAGAAACACTTCCTTGGGGCTACCTAACATTAGCCAACAATGAGTAAACGGCTTGACACTGTTGCAGGAAATAAGTTTACTAAAGAGTGCTTTCTTGTAATACAGCAAATGTTTTAAAGATGATGAGAACCCAAGGGACAGCTAGTGGGGAGGGGGCCACCGTTCCTGGAAAATGTCATACCCCGCTATTTTCTGTGTAGTAGTACTGTCAACAAAAAAGGAGGCAAAACATTTAGCAGTGACTAATTTGTTTTATAAACGCATAGGAACAGTCTCTATATAGCCATTAACTTACTAAAATTAACTGAAAGATCTATGCATAACAATAATTAAAGAATAAAAGGCCATGAACTTGAGAGGAATAAGGGGGTGTGTTAGGGGTGGAGGGAACAGAGAGCGGGAAATAATGTAAATGCAGTACACACACACACACACACACACACACACACACATACACACACACACGTACTATAACATGAGGAAAAGCAAAACCATAATTAAGTTTATACTTCAGAGTTTACAACTAGCTCTCTGGCTGCTTCTCTGGTCACTAGGAAACAACAGGTCTGCTCTCCTGTGCAAGCCCAGATTCTGCTGTGCTCTGCATTTCACTGGCTCCCTCAAAACTCACCTTCTGTCCTCTGATAGAAAACAGAAAGGAGAATAAAGCCAAGAAGCCACCCAAGAATGCACTAATCACGTATTTACTGGTGTCTTCTGACTATCCCACTGTTTCCCCTGAAGTCTAAAATGCATCAAGTTGTGGGGTTTACCTGAGCAAGAGGTCACAAAGAAAATTATATCCTTGCCATATCCGAAAGTCATCCAGAAGTGTTTGGGAAACATCGCTGGAGTCTTTGAGGAAACAAGAAAGCCCGGCAAACATTTCAACAATTTCGAGGGGAGACAGGTCGTCCGACTGCTGCATATTCTGAACACACGTAGACAAACATTCTTTTTCTGTGACAATGAAAAAATTATGTATTATTGTTGTCCCCGGCTTACAGAAAAGGTGTTTATAATAAAACACCAACTTTAATGTACATGTAACATGGTACAAGGTAAATATTCTAAGGGCAAACAAAGTTTCAGATAGATGGGAAGGTTCTCTAAGTGGGAACAAAGGGCAGCACAGGAGTGTTAAGAACATTAAGGCTTCCAGTAAAGCTCTTACATCACACTTTGATGTCATTATTAAACAAAATCAAAATCACTGCTGTCAAATAGTTCTTGATCTTCTATACTGATATATAATGGTAACAGGATTTAAAAAATCAAGAAGAAATCATCAAGTATTCGAAGTGCAAATATAGACCAACGAGATGCTGATGTAAATCAAGAGATAAAATATTGAAAGTTTTGTTTATAGTTTAAATTGCCAGTTTCGAACACAGCCATAGCCATCACCAACTCTGAGGACCCAGGGTCCCACAACAGAAGCTAAGATTAACAAAAGAGAGGACGGTAACAGTGACTGAGTCAGGGATGAGGGATGAGGTTTCCCATACATGTACATGAACAAACAGATGAGCTGGTTAATGCAGGACTTTTAGGACACTTTAGCACACATGTGTAGCCATATAAACTAAGCAAAGCACTGGAGAGGTTACAGCAATCACCACCCACATCAGCACCCCAAGGGCATACCCTAGGCAGTTAATTCTCTATAATTTTTAAAGATAATTCTCTATAATACTTATTTTTAAAGTCCACTGATTTCATCTATTTTGTACCAGAAAGAATACTTTATGAATATTTATGAAATATGAGTCTTTATGAAACAGCTTCAGAAACACTGGCAATTATTGAAGAGCTCTAGTGGGCCCTGAGCATGGCCCACATGATTCTGGGAGGCCTTGCCCTTCTCCCATTGCCTCTGCCTTGCTAAAATCTGTTAGATTACATTCCTGAAGCTAGCCCCCAAAGTCTATCCCTTATTGGCCACTTCCTCCTCCTGAGGCTGACTACCAAGGTCCAGCTATACTGAAGACCAGCAATCAAAGCTCCCTTTGGCTCACCTAATTAACATACCCAAACAAGACAAACCAACTTGTCCGAACACAGGGTTTCCCTTATAAATTGCAGTTTGCCTATGTGCCACATCTGTCTCCTCTCTATCCAGAGGCAGGGGCAAATATCCCTTCCTCTTCCTCCCTCATCCTCAATCTCCTGTATTTGTCTCTCATTCTCTGCTCTTTGTCCACCTGGGGCAAATAAGTCTCCTTTGTGCTGAGAACTTGGTCTTGGAGTGGTAGAAGAATGATTAATCAATGAGATAACCTACACTGAATTAAGACTGAACATTCACACAACAATGAAATAATCTTAACTTGTTCATATCCATTTTGTTGAACCTAAGAAAATGTCTTGCACTAGAAAGATCCAACAGATTAAAAACTGTTCTTTCTCCTGGCAAATTTCTGTACGAACGTATCTCAGAATCCTGGAGACTGAATGGACACTCTTCCACAGGCTAGTCAAGTGGTCCATCATGGAGCTACACTCTTTCATTTTGGGAAAGGATCTCGCTAAGTTACCCAGGTTGAACAGAAACTCACTTTGTTGCTGGGATGGGCCTTGAATTCTCCATTTCCCTGACCTGGCCAAACTAGGTATGCATAATTAGCTAATGTAAAGAACAATTTGTGGAAGAGGGAGACAAGACGAGAGAAAGGGGGCCACGTGCTCCTCACCATGGATGTACTTCACCACGTTGACGCTCAGCCCGTGGCGGGAGATGGTCATGAGCACCTCCCCGGCGCTCTTCCTCCACGGCAGGTTATAGGGAGGGCACCAAGAGGTTATTGCACTGAATAAAAGCTGCAGGTCGTCCTTCTGGGCCAGCTCCTCCGCCGGAGAAACGAAACTGCAGAGTTTTACCAAGATCTAAACGCACAAGGAAACAAGAGTGTGCAGTACACAGTGGTCAAGGGAAGGCAGGACAGAAAACAGTGAGACCAAACTTCATGCTAGCTTCAGAGCAGCGCTGGGCAGTCACTGCAGTCATCAGGGTCAGCGCTCTCACGAGCATTAAAAAGACATCAAAGGTTTCGGTATGTGTTAAAGAGAGCTTACTTAAAGAAATCTCCACTACCAGTCTTCCTTCTGTCTTTGAATAATCCGCCTTGAAACAGGATGAAGCAGCACCTCTGCACTGCATTTCACGGTTAGTACTTTAACTTTCTCTTCTGAAAGTTTTCTGGTTCTTTTGAGAGAGGGTTTTTCTACGTATCTCTGCCTGTCCTGTAACTCGGAGAGATCCTCCTGCCCCTGCCTCTCCAGTGCTGGAATTAAGCTGTACACCACCACAACTGACCGATTTAACTTCCTAATTTAGTTCTTCTTTTGCCCTGGTAAAATATAATTTTCTACTTTAAAGGGCAGAGCACAAGTGACAAACTTGGCAGTTGAATGTAAAAGGAGCCTTAAATTGTTTCCATTTTATGTACAAGTAGGAGATGTTTGAATAGAGTCAATCATCATAATTTGAAAAATATCTTTATTACATCTAATTGACAGAAACTTTCTGAAGTCTGGCTTTCAACGGAAGACTCTAGACGAGAGGTTCTCAAGCTGTGGGTCATGACCCCCTTGGCAGTTGAATAGCCTTTTCATGGGGATCACCTAAGACCATTGGGAAACACAGATATTTACTATGATTCAGAACAGTAACAAAATTACAGTTATGAAGTAGCAACAAAAATGATTTCATGGTTGGGGTTACCACAACATGACGTCGCAGTGTTAGAGAGCCTGAGAACCAGTGTTCCAGACTACCAGCTCCAGAATGAAGGCCCAGCTCTGACCTGCAAGGCCACCGTAGCTCTGTGCTTTGCTGTACCGGGTTCTGCCCCACAAAGGAAGTCCAAGTGATTTTACCCCCAATGGTCTCTTCAATGTCAGGAAGAGTTCATGTCTTTTCTCTGTACTAAACTCCCTCATCTTAGTACTTTTTTTAAGATATAAGATACTACAAATCATCCGTTCAGCTTAAAAAACATTCTTAAGGCCAGTAAGAACATTGCTAAAAGAAACTAAAGTATGTGGCACTCCATGCCCTGCCTGTAAAGCTGGGCCTGGGCCCTGCCTGTTCTACCCAAACCGTTCTTAAATAACAAAGGCTCCCTCATTCACACCTGCCAACCCACAGGAAGAGAGAAGGGCTGAGGGCTGGGCCAGCACCACAGGCACCTTTTCCACAGAGGCCTGGAGGAGCTTGTGTGTTCCATGTGTGTCCACCAGCGCGGGTCCCTTTTGCCCAAGCGAACACAGTGAGGAAAGCTGCACGGGGGTACAGTCAGCTCTGTTTGTGTCTGCTTGCGCTGCTGCCTTATGCGATTAGACAGGCAGATGCCATTTCTCTCATTCGCAACAGAAAACAACCCAAAATAGTAAAAAGCGGGAAATAGAATCCAACCCTGCCCACTAAGTCAACTACGTTTTATGACTCCTTCGCTGCTGAGCCCTAAGATGACTGGCTCTCATCTTCACTGTCAGGGTGAGTTTCGAAGATCATTTAGCTTGATTCTTTCCCAGAGCTGGAAGTACAGGCTAAGGCTCCGGCCTCTCCTCCCCTATGACGCTTCTACCTGTAGGGAAGCTTTACAGAGGCAGCCAAGGGTACCAGGGGAAGCACTGTTCACAAGGACCAGGCGAGGAATGCCTGCTCGAAGCAGCGACACACGACACAGACACAGACAGGGAGACTTCACCCGGCTTCAAACATTTAAGAAGCTCTCAATTAGTCCCCTGAACACAATGATAGCTAGGGTGTGTAGCAGGGGACGAGGAAGACTAAGGGACTGAAGCAGTGAAGGAGCACTGGGCAGGAAAGGGACAGGGTCCTAGCCATGGGTGTTGTGGGCCCCACAGTGTAAAGCGGAAGTGTGATAGGAGCTGTACCTTCCTTTGCCCCTGAACACTCAGCAACTGCAATACATGGACAGGAGCCCCACACTACCTTACAGCCATCACCCATGGCTTTCAAACACGGGGCCTTACATTCCGAGCAAAAATGTGTACTGTGCCTACTTAGACGCTAGACTTAGAAAATCAACTTCCCCTTACTGCTTAGGATCACAGCTGTCTTTTTAAAAAGACAGGCTTCACTGAGATGGGGCCAACATTAACCCATACCGTCAGCGTGCTCTCACAGCGCCTTTAGCCCCTACATGGCGCGTTCCTTCACTTCACTCCCACATCTGCCAACTGCCAACGTCATCACTTCAGAGGAGAGCAGAAGCTCTGGAGTTAAACACTGTTCTTCCAGTTCCATGAGATGAAGCGGAAGCTTCAGTACGAAAATATGCGATGGATAGTGTGTTCAAAAAGATTCGGGTTCTTTTTTTTTTTTTTGAGACAGTTTCATGCAGCACAAGATGTAACAGAATGTGACCTTGAAGATCTGACCCACCCCTGCTGCTTGCCAGGTCACAGGTGTGCACCACCACACCAAATTAAGGCCACGCTGGGGATTGAACCCAGGACTTCCCGCCTGCCAGGCAAGCACTCTACCAACAGAGCTCTATGTCCAGACCCCTAAGTATTTACTGAGTTAGTGTGCAGTTCAGTGATCCAAGTCTATGATGACGGTCCTAGCATCCCCCTCTCCATCCTTGATGCAGCAGCACCTTTTCAAGTCTACCATTCTCTCAGAGAAGACTCCACCATCCTCTACACCCATGCTGCCTCACCCAGCACACAGCTTTCCAGTCTCCTCCACTCTAATGACAAAAGCAGCAAACTCTCTTCGGGAGTCTAACCTGTGCTACGCAGAGAACCCCTGCTAAAAACTCAAAAGCCTTTTAGGCACACACTCTTCACTTTGGGCTGAGAAATCTAAATCCTCAGTTATATTACTTCAGACGCCAGAGGTATTATTACTAGCTTGTTATTTATTGACGTTTTTAAAAGCCTCAATGAGTTCATCATCTTTAGCACAGGAACTGATGGTCTGCAGTGTTAATCCTATGCACTACTGTGCCATGAAACGCTACAACTTTCTCATCTTAGAACCTGGTATCTCATCCTAGAACCCGGTGAACAGCAACCCCTCTCCTGCCTCTCACTACCCTTTCTAAGAATCTGGTGATTTTAGGCGACTCATGCAAATGAAGTCATGCGGTGTTTGTCTTTTTGAGTTAAAAGCGTTCTTTTAAAGAAAAGTGTATTAGGACCACGGACAGACTATATTCTAAATGTCTGTAGATTGCTTGTTTAAAAAAAGTTTTGTCCCACAAAAAGAACACCATACAGGCTACCCGTATTACTAGACCGCTTTAAAAAGGTCTCTGAAACCTTTGTTTACCCACAAGAATACAAAAGAACAGTGGCAATGATGGAAAGGGCCTTTCCCAAGTGCAGAGGACCTGGACAGTGGGCAGTGGTAGATTCTAAGTTCAATATTCACAAACTGGAAAAATCCTCTATGTAGACAGAAATTATATAAACTGTCTCGTTGTTATAAGACATATTTCCCAAATCTCAGTATTGATAAACTTGTAAAAAATGATTTCCTTAGCAATTTAACTTTAGCGACATTATTAATACTGTAAATCTGATTTTAACAGTGGGATCTGTTTGCAGAAACAAATGCAGTCGAAACACCTAGCACTGCCTTCAAATACCCAGGAAACCATTTTCATATTCCTTCTGCATTTACGTGAAAATGTAATTATGAGGAAAAGCCCTGTCATAATAAAGAGAACAAAACTTTATGAAAAGTAGAACAAGCAACCATGTGTGGGGGTGCACTCCTATAACCTTGGCACATGGGAGGCTGAGACAGGGGGATTTGGGGTTTGAGGTCAGCTGGCCAACACAGTGAGAACCAACCAAAACAAACGAGACGAGACAAGATAGACGGGGTAGGACATCTCCACACAAAACTCTCTAGTTCTTTTTAAAGGCAGTTATGGAAACAGCCATGTGCGAGGTGAGGCCTCCTTACCTGGACGAAGACTTTCTGGAGCAGCCCTCGGCGCTCGGCCAGAGGGAGCTCGCTCTGTGCACCTCCCCCAGCCTCAGGCACGTGCGGAAGGTCAAAGAACAGGTACAGACATTTAACCAGGGTGGAAGGCACTGACATCGTCGTCATGCAGTCCACGGTTTTCTGGAAAACAAACCAACAGCAGTGGGCAGACAGACAGACAGATGGAAGAACTGTAACTTGGACCGGGGGGTGGGGGTGGGGGGGTGGGCACAGACACCACGATCCCGCTTAAAGGCAACGAGGAATTAAAAACCCTCTTCGGACTGACAAACATTCAATTTGCCATTTAAACAAGTTTGCTTCGGTCAGATGTTGAGACTGGTTTGCTGGTGTGCAGTAAGTTATTTAATGAATGTGGTATTTACTTGACAAGAAGCAGCTTGTTTCAAAGAACATGAACTTCGAGAATTTAAGAAACACGCTTAATTACCACAAATGGTGAAACTATTTAATTTCCTGGGTCTCATCTCTCTCTCACACACATACAAATGAATAGAAATGTGCACACATTTCAGGATAAGTATGATAGCCAAAATAACAGAATCAATATTTAAAAAAAAAAAAAAAAGGTTAAGCTTGGTGGCACAGGCTTCAAACGTTGCTATCTAGGAGACAGAGGGCGGAGGATCCCAAGTTCAAAGTTTATCTGGAAAAAAGGGTAACTTCAAGGTCACTCTATCAACTTAATGAGAGCCTATCTCAAAAGAAAAATTAGAACAAGGGCTGAAGATAAACTTAGGGGTAGAATTCTCGCCTAGCATATACGAGGCCTTGAGTCCAACCCCAATACCAAAAAATAAATGGATCCATCAATAAATAGACGAATTAACCACTAAATTGTATACTAGTGTTTGTTTTGCCACCAGGTTTATCATCATTCTTATTGGATGTTTGTGAGAGGAAAGGGTATCTGAGAGACAGAGCCATCACCAGTGCAAATGACACTGCGTCATTTTCAAAGGCCTACAAGAAGGAATTATAGACAATCTTTTAGAAAGCCTTTCGGTATGGCTAAGAAGTATGACATAACCGATGAAGCTCGTGGCGTGTGGTTATCCTATGGTAGGAACTGGCCCCGCCTTCCCATTCACTTATTTACTTTCTCATCAAGTATATTTATTGAGTGCCCAGGGTATGCGAGGCAGTACACTGACAGCAGCGTGCAAAGACCAGGACCTCTCTCTTTGGAAGGACCCAGCCCTACAGGCATCAGCAGGTCTATCAGGAACTCCAATGTAAACTCCCACTGACAAAGGCAGAGCACACAGCCTATGAATGGGAATGTTCCACAATGTCTGGAATGAAACAGAGAACTAAAATGAATTAAAACGAGCGGGGAGAAACACTGCCTGAAGACGCGTAGGGTGTTACCCTACAGGGCAGCATGTGTGAAGAGCCAGAGTCCAACGTGGCAGACACCTGAAGGTCATACTGATGGCTCCTTTCTAAGTTTGTTCTATGAACAAAAGGGTCACAGGTACGTGATTTATTCCTTTGGAGTCAATACTGTGTGCCTGGTACTAGTACCAAACGGTCCTCAAATTACAAAGCCAGCAGCTGAGGCTCATCATTTACTCAAGCTGCTCTAGAGGGGAGGGCTAGCTGGGCATGTAAGCACAATGATTTGTGAAAATGGTCCCACAGTCTCTCTTGACTTTTTTTTGTCTCCCTAAACCGATACTGGACACCCAAGGAAGTATTAACCAACAAAAGAGAAGTGAAGCAAGATTCAAATCATTTTCTGTAGTGGCAAAGATCATGAACTAGTAGGGACTGCCAGAGGAGAGGGAGTAGGGAAACTCGTAGGGAAAGCCACATGGGAGATGAAGGCTGGTCAAATACAGTAATGAGGGGTAGAGGGGAGAGAAACCTCTGAGAACAATGCCTCCAAAGCCTGGCCCACGCCTACACCGGCAGCATCTCCCAAGGCCCCTGCTCTACTAGCTCTTAGCTTACTGCTCTCAACACCCCATCACACCACAAATCTAGCAGGAAGTTAGTATCTTTGTCATTTCTCAAACTTCCCCAAATCCCACCCCTTCACCAAACCCTTGGTCTCAAAACGTCTACTTCCAGCTGCACAGTCTACCACTGTGCCTCCTGGTGCCACCTCTACTTTGTCTAGCTGCTGTCTGCTCAGTCAGGGTCACCAGTCATCTTGGTATCATGCTGGTGCCAGCAGAAAATGGCATTCAAACACAGCACCATCCCAAGGCATAGGAATTTGCTCTTTAAATGCATCATTTTCCAGTCAAATTATCACTAGCTTCCCCCTTCCCATTATGCAAAGCAGTGCGGTGTTCATTTCCATCTTATCACTCACTGGTAGATTAAAGTGTGACTTGGCATCTAAACTGGCATCTTGCATGTGTCATCCTTGTAAGTGGTTAAGGCACCACTCGATTCTTTTCCTGTGTCTGAGACTTGGTTTCATGACATAGCCCAGGCTGGCCTGACGCTTCTCCATCCTCCTGCCTCCGCCTTCCGACAAGGGGCTCTTTTCCTAACTGAAAAGCTGTCTCTCCATTCACGGACAGAATTCATCCACACTCAGTGAGTTTCTGTCGTGCTAGGCGTGACTGTACGACAGTCCATGCACACCGAGAAGGTGATCATAAGCATCTACAAAAAGTCTCCGTAATACCCAGAAGCATGTCAATTAAAACTCAACACATAGGAAGTACTGATGGCAACTGTTTCACTTAAATGTTAACATTTAAATGGCATATAATGACATGGTACATTAAACTAAATGTTGGTACTGTGGTACAGAGGCATTTACAGGCATCAACAGAAGAGGGCATTGAGAATTTTCTAGTCCTCCAGTACAGCCATGACACTGAAATGGTGGTACCAGGACTACCTGCAGGTCACCTAGGGTGACTGACCATCTCCACTGGCCTTGGACTCAGGGGATGTCTGGGATGCAGGGCTTTCTACGCTGAAGAGTAGACAGCCTAAGTCCTGAAACTAAGGACAAGTTGGTCTGGCAGGTTCTCAGTGCAATCAAAATGACAGGCAGAAGTTCCAATGAAAAGGTCCAAGTGCCATGAAAGCTTTGAGACCGTAGTTCTAAAGGTATTCACAGTTTCTGCGGTGACCAGTCACCGCTATCCTAAGTGCCACTGTTAATGATGCTGGGGTTTCTAAGTCCACTGAGTTTATTCAACAGACATCAACATAGATAGGTAATCACACTCTAGATTTCAGAGAACTGAAAAGCCTTCGCATCCCCAAAATGCCAAAGGACAAACACAAAAGACAGAGCTCATGAGTTCACTCAACCTGTGTGAGGTCAGAGATTTAACACTGAGTCAGGAGAAATAAAGAGCAGTCTCCACAACAGGTCAGGTGAAAACACACACCGTTCCTAAGCATAAAATGTCTCTAGTCCTTATTTTCTCTAAAAATCAGAAATGCTCAAATATTCGGTGTCATTTACTCATACATTTTTTCAAGCCAGATTTTCCTAGAGACACAGCTGTGTTGGGTATGCCCACCCCTGGCTAGTTCCCTCTGGCCACTTAGTGGTCCATCTTGTTGCCTACCATGTTTCACAATGGTATGTCTGCGTGTATTACAACATGACAGAAAATGAAAATGCTGCCTGAGCTATGCATATCCTCATGAGAAAAATGGAAACAAGTAGTAGCTTCTCACAGAACTGTGCTAAGAAGCACAGAAGCAGAATCCACGGGACAGAAACAATCACTGCAGCATCAAAATCCCAAGCCGGGTCGCTGAAGGGCCAGGGTGCCAAACACGAACACTGCACGCTCACCTGACCGGAGGATGCCAGCAGGTTGATTGTTGTAAGGAGCATCCAGCCTCTGCTGGCTTCTTCGCTCTGATTGATCTCCAGGAACTGGACGATGGCCCGACTTGCAGCCTCTGTAAAACCAAAGGGAAGCTAGTCAATAGGGGAAATCACTTATAAACTTAAAAATCTGTAAAACACAGCAGGGAAAGGGCCACTTCCTAAGCACACATTTTACAGCGGCATTATTTTGTAATCTACGAAAAAAATGAATGTAATCTGTGGGATGTTGGTCTGATGCGTGTTACTGGCCCTCAAGATCTGGTTATACCTATCCTTGTTTTGTAATCTGCCTAAGGCATACCTGATTGGTTGATTAAACGGCCTATACCTGGACAGGCCGGAATGGGATAGGCATGGCTAAGGTTCCCCCAGCTTTTGGGTTCAAGAGAATCATGGGAACAGACAAGACTGGAAGAGAGGAGGAAGGAGGACTCCACGACGGGTTAGCGTGGAGAAGAAACCACGTGGGGCAAAAGAAAGAACTCCAATAATGGTGTGGAAAGGCCCAGATGAAGAATACAAGCATGTACCACGGGGTTATGTATGGAAGGTAGAGCAGATGAGGAGGATTAAGGTGAATGGCATTGGATGGGGACTGAGAGATGGATGGTGAGGATACTGAGACAGTGTAAGTGAAGTATCTGCCTGGCCCAAGATAAATAAGGTAATTATAAATCTAACAGGTGTCTGTGTCTTGTTATATGTGATAGCGGGTTAAATAATACCACCGTTGATAATCTTAGAGCTAATAAACACTATACAGCCCAACACTCATTTTTTATTTACAACAGTAATTTTTTAATGAATATATTTGTGTACATTATCTAGCTAGCTAGCTAGCTAGCTAACTATGGAATTGAAAAACGATACTTTGGGGAAAAGTCTATGATGGACTAATCAACATTCATGGAGGAGTGACGTGAACTACAGCTTCCTGGGAAGCAGGCACATATCTTAAGGACTGGGAAGGTGGCATGGAGAAAATGGGAACACAACATTCCAACAAAAGATGGCTCAAAGGATGCAGACTGGCACTACAGAGGAAGGCAAGAGACCACGCTCTCACCATCCAGAGTGCATGCTCCCAACACAGGAATGTCAAGAGCACTGATGTAATTAGCACAAGCCTAATGACGGAAGGAAGGCAAGCCGAGGGGTGCACTTGATCTGGGGAGGAGGGAACAGTAAGAAATCCTCTTAAAGACTATTAACCCAGCATCACTGTGTGTGTCATACTGTGAGGCCAGAGAGAATGGTGGTGCTAAGGTAAGAGTAAGCCGTTGCTGGGTCCGTGACCACAGGAAAGTCTGGGGGTGTGGGGCCTACCTGAGAGGCTGGCGTGGGGACAGAGAGAAAGATGCAGGAGCACGTTCGTTCACAGAGCTGCAGAGTTAGGGGAGGAGCTGAAAGCCATTCTAGCTGACTGTGTCTTTACACAACTGAAAATGGGACTGGCAGGATGGCTCAGCAGGGAGAGGTGCTTGTTACCAAATTCAATGACTCGGGCTCAATCAGCAGTGGTAGCGGGGAGAGGAACATTTCCCAGAAAGCCTCCCCTAACGGCTACCTGCATACTGTGGACACACACATACTGTATCACAACAAAGAGTGCTAAGAGACAAATGAAGATGGAGAAGTCCCTCGGCATGAGTAAAGCCTGTCGGAGGGTCCCGGTGGTCCCCGTGAGCCGGAGAGACAGCAGAGTGCACTGAACAGGCCGCAAGGAAGCCGGAAGCAGAGCAGAACTCAAGACACTCCGAGGTGGACCACTGCTGTCAGCGTAACACAGTCACGTGTGTTTGCCTAGATACCTTGGGAAACACTAAACATGTGCTTTCGCTGAGCCTGAGCTGTAGCAGCCACGTTCTCATCACCCATGTCTTAGCTAACTCAGTCTTCACAGATCCCACCAATCAGCTTCTTCTGGTAAAAAGATGAAAATGTGTAATCAAATCCAAGCTGTCTAGCCTATTAGCACTAAAGGAGAGAGAGAGAGAGAGAGAGAGAGAGAGAGAGGAAGGGGAGGGAGAGATAGACAGACAGAGAGTGCACGCTGGGGAGTACAGCTGGTCAGGCACTCGCCGTGCAAGCATGAGGACCCGAGTACGACAAAATCAGAGTGTGTGTGAAGCCTTCTTCTGGAAACGGCTGCTGGACTTGTAAAGTTAGCTAAATCGACTACAATTACCTGCAGGGAACCTGTATAAGAGTTTGCCATTTATGGAAAGGAGAGGGGGGTAGGACATCCCCGCCCTACCCCGCAGACTGTGGGGTAAAGCGTGTCACTTTCTTCCTAGCAAGCACACTGTCAAGCTGCCCCCACCCAAGCAAGCAATCCTACTTAAAGTCAGTGGCTGAGATCAGAACACACATGAAAGCAGGAGGGAGCCGTGGGAAAGGAGGGTTTCAGTGAGAGGAGAAGGGGAAGAGAGAGGGGAATGGGAGATGAGAAAGAGTAAAATTCATTAGGTACAAGTAAAAGACTGTCAAAGAATTAAAAGCGATAAAAAAAGGTGGGTTTGTGATCTCAGCACTTAGGAGGTGGAGACAGGCAGATTCCGAGGCTCGCTGGCCAGCCCAGCTTACGGCAAGCTCCAGGCCAGCAAAAGGCCTTGTCAGAAAAACACAGTCAACAAAAAAAACTGAGCGATATTTGAAGAACAGCCCTCAGTTTGGCCAAGTTGGCCTCTTGTGGTACACATGCACGCACGAGTGTTTGAGTGTGTGTGTGTGTGTGTGTGTGTGTGTGTGTGTGTGTGTGTGCGTGCAAGTGCTGAAGGGCTTACACAGCATGAACATAGATGTTAGAGTACAACTTTGGGGAGCTGGTTCCCTCCTTCCAGCACAGGTTCCGTGGGGTGAACTTACACCATCAGGCTCTTACCAACAAAATCACCTGTTGGCCCTGCTTTATTTTTGAGACAGGTTCTCAGGCAGCCCCGACCAGCCTTGCTCACCCTATCCTTTTGTTTCAACCTCTACTGCCATGCCTGGCAATGATGTATGGGTTGTTTTTGTTTTGTTTTGGTTTGGTTTTTTTTTTTTTTTAAACATTTTGTCTGATGGTGAACACTAAGAGACTTTTCATAATTTAAAGGAGGGACGGGGAGGGCAGCAGGCATTATCCTAGTAAGATGATGACATTTTCTGTGGGTGAGTATGCCAAATAAATAAAATAGTGAGGATAAACCAAGAAGATCGACGTCAGTATAATCCTTCACTGTGTCTCTTGAACACCTCAGGCAGGAGCTAAGATATCAGCAGTGTGGTACAATCGGTGCTGGGCTTCGAACTCATATCTGAACAGAGGAAAAGGTCTGGACAGCGTGTGGCTGGATGCTGGGAGGAAAGTCCCAAACGTCCCTGGTGAAATGAGTCACCAGGGCTGGTGGGAGAGCTCGGTGGTTGATTCCACGCCCCGCTGTTGCAGGACTTGAGTCCCAGGCCCAGCACCCACACCACAGGCCCACAACTAGCTGTGACTCCAGTCCTTCATTTTAGATGCTTTTTCCTGCCTCTATAGGCATCTGTGGTTGCACACATAGCCCAGCCCACATTTAAGCAGCAACAGCAAATGAATTCTATCCTCACGCAGCAAATGTATGCAGAAGAACCATTTCACTTGACCCTACCCATTTCAACACACTGTCACTTCCAATCAATCAAGGGGACCCTCCATTTCTAGTTAACTGAGGAAGCAGCCCATATGAACATATGCTTCATCTGCAGCATCTTCAAGGCTTTTGTCCACGCCGAGGGTACAGCTCAGCGGAAAACCAAATCCCTCACCTCTAGCCATGAACATGGTAACTAGAACTTTTCCAGCGTGCATCAGGAGAAACGCGCACAGATGGCACAGCTTGAATTAGGCTAACTAGGCAAAGAAGGTACACAACCTCAAGACTAGTGTGAATCCCTGCCACACACAGAAAAACTACAAGTGAGCTCCAGAAGACAGTGTTAGGGCAACTGGGAATGCCCAGGACAAACATGACGTCCACTGAAGGCACGTGCAGCTCCAGCTGGGCTTCAGGAGGATGGTTTGAGTCGAGTTAGGCATACCACTGCATTCATTCAGCCCTACATAGCCCTGGCTCTCAAAAGAGAGATCTGCAAAGTTAGCTGGGAAAACAGAAGTACAGTTCACAGCCTCTGTGCTTGCTTCGAATTACCTACCACACACACACACCGTGGGGACGGAATTACCTGCAGGTGTTGTGGCTCTGAGCTCCCTTTAGGACAGCACAGCGCGCTGTTTCTCCGTCTGGGAAGAAAGGCTGGGATCTCTAAGTGGGGATCCACTACAGCTCTCCAACCCTGCCACTGGAGGGCTGTGGCCATCACCACCGGCCTCTCGCTGGCGCGGTGCCATTGGGAACGGCACTACTGGCCTCCCGCACGGGGCAGCGTCACCCACAACGCACTGGCCACATTACAGCACACAAGTCAGGAGGCAATACACAAACAGGTGAAATCTTAGAAAATCCGCATAAGCTAAGTATTATTTGGACTTGCAAAATATGGTAACTACGTACCTAAAATCCCCAAAATAAGATGCCCGCGGGGAAAGGAAATCAAGGGCGCCATGAGACACCTGCACTATTTTCCTGCGTTCCTGTAGCAGTCCTGCAACACCCCATGACACTATTCGCACTTCAAAATTAAAACTTAGAATGTTTGCGTTGACTATTACTGTAATTAAGAGGGAGACATACTGTCTATTAAATCTCTCTGAGATTCGTCATCTCACCAAAAAGATTATCTTGTAGGTATAAAATCCTGAAAGAAGCTAAGAAAAAAAAAAGCTGTAGTATAGCAAGCTATCTTCCCACAGACAGCTCAGGCACTGAAAGGAGAGCAACACTGAGGAAAGCGAAGCCAGTGTGACTGAAAGTTCCCTTCCCGCCACACAAACCTCAGATAACAAATCTTCCCTTTGACAAAATGAACTAGAACAACGGTGTATGCTGAAAGAGGATTCAATCCCATTTTGAGTGCAGAAGGGAACTGGGTAGGACACTTTAAGTGGCCCATTCCTTGGTCGTTTTTCAGGTACAAGTGTAAGCAAAGCCATCTCACTTTTAAATCTATTCACTAAATCCCAGATTGTCGCACCTCACATGAATGGATTTAATCCTCAATTAAAGGCATTCTCATTACTCCAAAGAGTGCCTAATGGGCTCCGGTTCAGGTAGACACCTCAGATCATGCACTTAACTCTGCTTGCTGAAATGCCCTGTGTCCGCACTGCCACACCCATGGTGATACTAACATAGATGGGGCACCTGAGAAGAACCAGGCCGAGGCCAGGTCCTGAGGATGAGCCTCTCACAGTGGGAGGAGCCTACACCTTAGGAAAGGGTCCCATGGGCGGGCTAACTCTGTCTCCTAGTTTGAGTTCATAGTGAAAAGGTAGCTAGCTGCCTGCAAAGGAAAAAACCACCAGCACACAAGAACAGAGCAGCAGCTTACACGCTGAAAGACGCCAATCTTCCTCCTGCCCCTCCTGCTGGCTTCCAAAATGCCAAGTTAGACATCATGTCTTCTAGCACAGTCTGAATAACTCTCCAAGAAATCCTTCTTTGATTAGGAGAAAAATCACCAACAAAATGGCTCAACAAGACAATTTTACTCTGAACTCACCATACCAGGTTCTGGCCACAACTAAGACTTTTTGCTGAAAGGAGGATCAATACAATCCGTTACCAAATGACTCTGCCTCACCCGGGACTCTCCAGCCTAACAACTCCCGTAAATTGTGTAAAGACCCCTGACTCAGGGTTTCTATTACTGGGATAAAGCAACACGACCAAAAGCAGCTTGGAGTGGAAAGAGTTTGTTTCAGCTTACAGTTCTGGGGAAGAGACCATCAATGAGGGAAGTCCAAGGAACTCAAGGCAGGGGACTGAAGCAAACGCCACAGAGGAATGCTCTTTACTAGCCTGCTCAGCCTGCTTTCTTAGGCCATCCAAGACCATGAGTCCAGGGGTGGTAGAGCCTTCAGTGAGATGGGCCCTCCCACATCAAAGGTAATCAAGAAAATGCCCCACAGGTCAAGCTAATGAGGACATTTTCTTAACTGAGGTTCTCTCTTCTCAAATGATCGTAGCTTTTGTCAAGTTGAAAAAACTAACCAGAACAAGTTAAGTTGCTTATGGTGTAACAGGAAGAAAACACACATGCACGTTCATGTATATACACACACACACACACACACACACACACACACACACACACACACACACCCCACATACCATTCCTGCAGCTGAGAAACAAAAGGGTACTTTGGAAGAGTAAAAAATGTTTTGATTAGAGAAGTCAAGAACATTCTATCAAGGAAGCATGACTTAATCTGGGCTGAGAATTAGACACACCAAGAAAAGGGCTGTCCTGGGGAGGAACATGGTAAGGACAGACACACAACCACGGTCACCTCCGCAGGCTGCAGGAGCTCACTTTGATAGCGACACAGAAAAGGAAGCAAGAATGAGGACAAGAACCCAGACTACAGACTGGCCTTGTGCACCGTGCTGTGGCTTAAGGGTGTTCATGGAGGATGGCAGAGTGACAACACAGTGGCAGAGGAGGGGCCGGTGGCCCTGCAGAACAGCCGAAGGCTCAAAGCAGCAGCAGACCTGGTGGGGGTGGGGTAGGGCTCGGGAGGAGGCTGAGACCTGTGTGCAGCGGGCTGCCTCCTACTGAATCTTAACAGTACTTTTAGAGACCTGCTTGCCTTCCACCGAGGTCGGCCTCTGGCTCGCCTCTGTAAATTACCTGTCGATTTGTTTGAAGCTCTCCTCCGAATCTCCGTCACCATTAGTCGGGAGACTTGCGTCGTGAACTGCAGAAGGTCAGAAAATTTTTCTGTCATTGTATTTGGTGGAGCATTTCCAAAAACCTGTAAATGAGAGAAAGCATTTGGTGAGGCACTGTGCCTTTACTTTTTAAATTCTGAGGTTCAGGACATTAGGTGGCTTGAAGATCAAGTTAGGTAAGTACAGTTACAGCATTCGCTCAAGACCTGATTATATCTAAAGCTTAGGTCTTCTGAATGATCACATCTGGCCACAGATTCTTACACATACGAATGTACCAAGTATATGGTTAACTAAGTAAGACTGAAAAGTCTCTAACAAACCGCAGAAAACTGCCATTCTCTGAGGAAACCTAAGCTGGAAAATCAGAAGTCTTGAAAGGTCATGGTTCTTTGATGGAATTCAGACTCTGTGGGAAGAAGCAGAGACTGGCCTACAAAGATGAGATTTCAAAAGTTTCTGAAGTCTAGCCACAATCATCTCTAATATAATGCTGTTGTGAAAACCATAGAGATAAAGGGATGAGTAGAAGGCTCATAAATCAACTTGTTTTCACGAAAATGTAGGCCAAATGAACTTTGAAACAAACAATCCTTACATATAAGCTGATGGGCTCAGCAAAGAGGGAAGGAGTAAAACCAGAATGGACCCTCATGAGAAAAGATGTCATATTTTAACAGCTGTATAGACAGATGTCATGTTTAAAAATGTTCTTTACAGCTGAAAGGAAATTCCATCTTTTAAGCTGTCATTACCCTTCCCATTTCTAATACAGTATTCACATTATTACTATTCAAATGTCACCACTAAGAGATAAAACATAATTCACACAGGTTTACTTTCTTTCCAAGCTAACACAACACTAGGCTCTTGCAGAAACTCTCTGTATGTGAGGTTGGTTGTTCCTATGCAGGCTGTCCCTACGAGCAAATACTTCCTGGAGACTGTCAGAGGAACACCGGGGATAAAGTAAGAATGGTTTACACAATTGCACTCCAGCTGGAAGCTGGGACAGGGAGCCCAGAGCCAGAGCCTGATCGCACGTCACAGTCCTTAAGACACCGTCTTAAAAACAAAAGCAAAGCAACAATCAACCAGCAAACAAAAAGCAGGAGCAGCACAGAGGGGGCGCGGACTCAAGACCCAAGACCCAAGACGAACTCTGTTTTCCTGTATTTTGGTTACAAGGTTTTGCTCATTAGTCAAAAGAGAAAAACCCAGTCAATTATACCCCGCCTAGTCGATCACTAAGACATATTTGTCATACATGTGTGCATGTGGACTTCTCAGCATGTGTCAGACATGTATGCATGTGAACCTCTCAGCATCTGTCATACATGTGTGCATGTGGACTCTCAGCACCTGTCATACCTGTGTGCTACATGCATGTGAACTTCTCCACACGAAAACAAAAGACCTTATCCCCAGAGCCTAGTAAAATATGCAGAAAGCCCACACTATCATTCCAACAGAAGATCTCACACAGATACTGCTTCACAGTAAGTTAAAAATAACGAAACCCTTCTGCAAAGGTTGCTCTGGTCAAGGGACAACCTGTTCCACCAACTGCACAGAGGAGGAATTTTTATGCTTTCAAAGAACAAATGTTTTTTTAAAGAATCCCTCAATTCTTTCATGCTACAGGTTTGTTTGGTTTCGTTTTTTACTTTGGTTGGTTGGATTCCGGTTTCAGAGACAGGGTCTGTCTGTGTAGCCCTGGCTATCCAGGACTTGCTTTGTAGACCAGGTCACCTCAAAACCCTAGATCTGTGCTGGGATCACAGGCGTGAGCCACCACAGCCTGGCTTTTTTTTTTTTTTTCCATGCTACAGGTTTTAAAACTTAAAAACATTAATTTATTTGCACCTGTGAGTGTTGTGCCCGCACTTATGGGAAGGCTCTTGTGCACATGCCCATGCTTGCCTGCAGCCCGTGGAGGCCAAAAGACTGCATGGATGCCCTGGAGCTGGAGTTGTGGTCTGCTGTGAGACACCAGGTGAGGCTGGGAACTGAACCTGGGACCACTGCAAGAGAAGCCAGTGCCCCTAACCACTGTACCTCTCTCCAGTCCCCCTGCTAGGGTGCTTTGATAAAGGAATGCTTTCAGTTTCAAATCTATCACCTGGTAAGTAAGACCCATAAAAACTCTGTGTGTGTGTGTGTGTGTGTGTGTGTGTGTGTGTGTGTGTATGCGCACGTGTGCACAGGTGAAACTAGGGGCCTGAACTCAGGCCTTTAAGCATGCCTTGCCAGCAAGACCAATATTCCTCAACAAATCACAGAAAAAAGATAAACATTCAGATACCTATTAATGATGCACACTTGAATTTTTACCACTTATAGGAGTTGAACAGAGTTCATAAAAACAGTTATTTCTTCAATAGTATAAAAATGCAGTGATTCACCTGGGGACAGTGGCACACGCCTGTAGTCCCAGCACAGAAGGCAGAGGCAGGCAGATCTCTCTGAGTTCAAGGTCAGCTTAGTCTACACAGTGAGTCCAGGACAGCCAGGACTATACAGAGAAACCCCATCTTGGAAAAAAACCAAAATAAAAACCAAACAAAATCCCAATAAATAAATAAATAAAGAAAGATTGTAGTGATTAGAGCAAGCTTGAGTTTTATTCCTTTCTTTTCACCAAGAAATCTTTCCAAAAGATAAAAGGAATCTGTTCTAGCTGCTAACCTGAAATGAACAAGCATGGCTTCTTCCAAATAAATGATGCTGTAAGCCTATTGCAACAGAACCTCCAATCCTGAACTCATTCACACACTTCCTGACTTCCCTCTACATGCCAAGCAGCAGTCTAAGAGTTGTGGACTCACAGGTCAATGAAGACTATATGCCAGTGTTCACCAAGTTCACATCTTAATTCAGATGACAAATGTTAAGCAAATTAACTTAAAAATTATAATGGCCCAGTTCACTCCCTTGGTAACACACACACTCACACAGACACACATGCACATACATACACATACATGCACACAGACACACATACGCACACACACAAGAATAGCATACAGACTATAATTTCACAATTTATCATTTATGCCTATAACCCTATGGCCTGGGAGGCTCAGAACTGCAGAGAGATTCTGCTTCAAAAACCAAAATAGTAACTATTAAAGTCAGGGGTTCGGCTCAGTAGTGGGACACTTAGGATGTGTCAGAGTCCCTGGGTTCTGCCCCCAGTACTAAAAAGAAATAAAAATACAAACACTGAGATTAAAGGCTGGAGAGATGGCTCAAGCAATTAAAACCACTTGCTGTGCTGGCCAAGGTCCCAACTTCAGTCCCCACATTAGGAGGCTGACCATCGCCTAAATATAATTCAGCACCAGGGGATCTGATTCCGTCTTCTGTCCATGCATATACACACATAACTAAAAACAGCCAGGTATTAAAAGGAGTACACATCTTTAATCCCAACGCTTGGGATGCAGAGGCAGGAGGATTTCTGTGTGTTCAAGGTAAATTGTGCACACCCTCCAGAGGACAAATGAGGTCACAGTGCTAGAGCATGAAGAGTCCTGGCAGCTCAGACTACGGTAAAATGAAGAGCCCCTCAGGCAAAACCTTAGTCTAGGGAAGCTGAACACGTAAGGGAACACAGAAGAAGCAGGTTCTTATAACTGACTGCAGTAACTCCATCTATACGTACTAGACATGCTTCACTACCTTTGACAATGCTCCACCATGTAAACCTCTGTTCCAGAGAGCTTGCAGCCGTGGGGCACAAGTCTTAGCTTCTCTCTCCTTGCAGAATTGGGGCCCCCACTCTCTCTCTCCCTCTCCTCCTCTGTCTCTCCCTCTCCTCCCTTCTCCCTCTTCTCCTTCACTGTCCCACTCCTCCTTCTCTGTCCTTCTCTTCCTTCTTCTCCCTCTCCTCCTTTCTCTTTCTCCCTCTCCTCCCTTTTCTTTCTCTGAGACTTTTGCTTTCCCACCCACCAAGGGAGACAGTCAAGGAGACCCTCAGTGCATTCAACTCAGAAAAGGGTGGTTGTATGATAAATTTCTGACATTTGTGGCCCAGACAGGGGGTTGAGGGATGGATGACAGCTCCCTCAACAAAAAGTGCCTTGTAACACATTCAGTAATAGAATACTGAGAAATAACATGGATGTACAGGGTTTCTAAGCACTGTTCCTGGTCGAATGCTTAACACCTTGTTAGTGTCTCATTAAACTCTCCAGAGCAGGTGCTGTTAGCATCCTCCTTTGACAGTTAAGGAAATGAAGGGTCAGGGATGCTAATCTATGTCACTATGTAGACGGGGGACAAGATTACAAATGAGGCCAGTCTGAACCTAAGAAGCACTCAGCATAATTTTCTCAATTAAACTGCCCTATTCTGGGAGCCATGCACACCGAAGAAGGGAATAACAGAACTTGACTTGTTAAAAAGGTTAGTTTTTAATTTTAGCACTGTCATGCGTCAAACCCAGGGCCTCACCCCTTAAAACGGCAATTTTTAATATCTACCTAAATGGTGAAAACTTTCCTAGCACGTCAATGAAGATACTGTTGGCATAGTCAAAGAAATTAATGGTGCTACTAATATGCATAAATTCGAAGCCCAATCTATATTTTTTATTTAACTGTATACTAAATAAGAATTAGGTATAACTAATAAAAAAGTTGTAATGTTTACAAAATCTTCAACACAGTCTATTTTTTTCCTTAAGTATGTGCAATACATAAAATTAATTTACAACACTGATTACCATTATTCCTTAAATAAAGTGTTATGGCTATAAAAGATGCAGTAAAACAGATCATTTGTTTGAATTTGGGATCTTTTTTCTTACCTGGTTCTAAACATGTATGTCCCTGTCTAAAGCCAGCAACTTTAAGGGACAACACATGCTGGAGAGGTTGTGGAGAAAGGGGAACCCTTCTCCACTGCTGGTGGGAATGTAAACTGGTACAACCACTCTGGAAATCAATCTGGCGCTTTCTCAGACAACTAGGAATAGCGCTTCCTCAAGATCCAGCCATACCACTCCTAGGCATATACCCAAAAGAGGCGCAAGTACACAACAAGGACATTTGCTCAACCATGTTTGTAGCAGCTTTAT